TTTCTGTCTTTTTGTGTGTGTGGTTCTGGGGATTGAATGCAACGCCCCTGCACTGAGCTGCATACCCTACCCTTATTATTTTGAGGCAGAGTCTTGCTAAGTTACCCAGGCTAGGCTCAAACTCGCACTCCTCCTCCCTCAGCCCCCAGAGGGCTGGGAGGACAGGCTTGCACCACCATGCCCGCTAAGTCCCAGGGTCCCTTGAGACACCTTTTCCTCCTATAGCTGGGGCTTTAAGGTTGTTTCCCCCATCCCACCCCTACTTCCACAACCCCCACTACTGACCCACGCAGGCCTGGCTGGACGTGAGGGTCTTGCAGCCGCTGCTCTCGGGAGGTGTGGGAAGCCCTTCAGGGGCTGTGCCGTAGAGTATGAGAGTGAACTTGGTCAGCGTCCCTGTACCAGATTGGAGGCAGAAGCTGAAGTCAGGAAGTGGCAGCACCACACACAGCATCCCAGACCTCACCAATCCACCTCTGCACCCCGTGCAATGCCCCGCCCAGCACCTTGAGGACCCCCGTACCATAGTTGTTGGCTTCGCTGGTGTTTTCAACCTCCAGGACCCACTCGCCAGCCGGGTCCTCATCCCAAGAATGGGTTGTCATGAAGGCCCAGTCATTAAACCCATCTGCAGAGTAGTCGTGTGGCCTGGGGGAGGGGGGTACATATAGCCATCTGTGGTCTCAGGGGACCCCCAGGCCAGGGACCCCAAACCCACACTCATGAGCCATGCACTCGTGCCCTGATGTGGCACCAACCCTGCTGGACCGGAAATGCCTATTGGCCTGGCTGATTCCTAGGGGCCAGGTGGTCTCCAGCAGGAGACTCTATAGAGGTATAAAGTACTTTACATAGGAACACCTGCTGCTGGCCTTAAAATAGGTAGAAGCCAGAGATTCCAAGGACGTGACATCACACAGGACGAAGCTGTCCCTCTCGACCAGTGTCCCACTGAGTAGCACGACAGGTGTTAGGGCAGTGTGGGTAGTGATGAGATAAAAGGGGGTTTTGAGGGAGCAGGCGAGCCAGGACAAGGTGGGCAGGGGACAGAGACGCACCTGGCGGCCAGAAGGGTGGAGCGGGTGCCCATGGGGCTGACCAGGTGGATGGCCAGGTCGCCACGGCGGTTGTAGGACAGGGTGAGCCGGGCCTGAGCGTGCTCCAGCCGGGTGATGTGGGTGGGCTCGCCCAGGCACGCAGTCACCGCCTTGCGCACCTCCAGCCGCTTGCCAATGTCCCTGTGTAGAGAGCACCATGAGGCCAAGTTGCTGGGCATGGAACGACCAGCACCACCCGACAGCCCTGAAGCCGCCTCCACCCAGCCGGGTCCAACCCTCACCTGGGCTCAGTGAGGATGTCGATAATGCACTTCCGCTGGGGGGCAACTGTGGTCCAGTTCTGGGCCAGGGCCACCATGGCACCTGCATCCAACAGCCCGTAGCCGTAGGAGTGGCTCACTGTGGAGGCAGGGAAGGCAGGGTCACAGGGAGGAAGAGAGCGCCCCTCCTAAGCAATCCCTAAGGCCGCTCCTGGGCCCCTGCCCTCACACCTTTGCGGCCTACACCATTGGTGGCCCAGTCATTGGCGTTGAGATGCGCTGGCTTTGAGGTCCGGACCACCAGGTGCTGCATGTCCCGCCAGGTGAGGTTCTTACTACAGAGGAGGAAGGGACAGGTGGGGGCTCAGGCTTTCTGGAGAGAAGCTGAATCCCAAGGCTGCCCTGCAGACAGCAGGGTGGGGACACAGCTGCCACCACCACTTACTTGGCTTCCAGGGTGAGAGCAATGATGCCGGCTGCCAAGGGGGCAGAGGCCGAGGTGCCCGTGTGAGACTCCGTGCACTTCTGCCGCAAGTCAGTAGTGACCTGCGAGGACAGTGGTGTTGGGGCCTGTGATGGACGGAGTGGCCACCTGCCTGGCCTCCCTCTGCCTAGCACCTGGGAGCCCACAGGTGGGACAGTGAGCCAAGCCACCCCGAGCCCGGCAGCTGCCTTGCTAACTCGCTGTGGATAGGTCGATGCACGGCCACTTTCAGGCCTCAATTTCCTAGGGAATGAGGGGGTCCAGCTGGGGGGTGGAGAGCAGTGCACACTTTCAGGGAGAATCTATGCTTCTCAAGGGTTTCACAGAGGGCTCTGTGGCCCTCAGGGTCCCGGAGGCCCCAGCTCCCAGCCTGCGGAGCATGCGCCGATATGGCCACGTGGGAGAGGAGGAAGCAGATGGGGAGGGAAGGGTTCTCTGAGCACAGGGTGCAAGCAGCAGCCTCCCTTCCCGGCCCCAGCGAGACTCACGATCTGCTTCTCGTTCTGGTTGCCACTGCTGTAGGTGGTGGCCAGCGTGGACGAGCAGGCCTCGCTGTACCAGGGCACGTTGCCGAACTGTGTGGCGCTGCTGATGGACAGCGTGTAGATGCTGTTGGTGTAGCCGTCACAGTTGCAGCTGTCATGTTCCCGGCCCCCGTTCCCTGAGGCCCAGACAAAGATGGAGCCCAGTCCCCCGCGGCCCTGTGGACAAAGTGTGCAGGGGTCACTCAGGATAGGGGCTGCAGGCAGGCCCAGCAGGAAGATGGTGCTAGAGTCCAGGCTGACCTCAAACTTGTGGTCAGCCTCTTGAGTGCTGGGACTGCAGGTGTGTGCCACCACGCCCAGCACCATGTCTGTGTGTCCCTTTGTTAATTTACTTTTTGTAGTGCTGGGGCTCAAATCCAGGGCTTCATGCATACAAGATGTGCCCTCTACCACTCAGTTATATCCCCAGCCCTCAGCCCTCAGCCCTTGATGCTCTTTCCTTCTTCTTTTTTAACTTGGAAAAAGAGGCTGAGATAGGGTCTCTCTAGGTAGCTCAAGCTGGCTGTGAGCTTACTATGTAGCCCAGGCTGGGCAAGAATTTTTAATCCTCCTGCCTCAGCTTCCTGAATCTGGATTATAGGTATGCACCACTGTGCCTGGCTCCCCCTTATAATGCTTTAATAAACATGCTTTGAGGTCGTGTCAGCCGGCTGTAGTGGTGCGCACCTGTAATCTCAGCATTCTGGGAACCTGAGGGCAGGAGAATCCCAAATTCAAGCCTACCCTTGGCAACTTAGTTAAGAGCCTACGATTTTTTTTTTAAAAAGGGTTGGGGATCTTGCTCAGTGTGAAGGCCTTGACTTCAATCTCCTGTACTGCAAGATAAAGAAATATGTCTTATAAAGAGTTAAGCTTAAACAAAAATAAACAAAACAGAAAAACACAAGGAAGAGAACTAAGGAGAAGACAGTGCCGGCAACCCCTAGAGATCAGGCCTGGATGCAGGGCTGGGGCAGGCTTCCTCACCTGGCTCACCCCCCGGAAGAAGGCCTCCTCAGCCAGGCGGGCCGGCCCGTCCACTGTCTTGCCGTCATCCTCGGGGCCCCAGCTGGCACTGTAGATGTGGATGTGGTTGGGGTTCAGGCCCAGTGAGCGCGCCTCCACTGCATCTGTCACCTCGCCATCCAGCATGCGCACCCCTGGCAGAGGGGGGTGGGGAAGAGGGGTGCTGCATGGGTCCAGCTGCCGGGGCCATCCTGAGGGGCATGCCCAGCCCTCTCCGCTGGAAAGCCCTGAGCCCCTAACATCCGCCTCTGCCTTTGCAGCACAAGAGCCAAAGGGGGCAAAGGATGACAGCTTTTCCCCCAGCCACCCAGGCTGGACTGGAAACATCTCCAGTTCAGAGGGCAGGGGGACAAAGGCTGCTGTGTAGAGACTCAGAGTGGGTTATGAGCATTCAGGAGACTCCTGTTAAGGGACATCCACCCCACCCTACTCCACAGCCACCAGCCCTGGAAGGCCAGCTCTCTGAGTCACTCTGAACCCCGACGGAAGATCCATGTGGTCAGAAGGATTCACAGTGGGACAGTGAGAGGCACTGGCCAGATGGGAAAGCAGGCAGACAGAAATCCCACAGGAAATCCCTCCCGCCTCCACTGTGGGACAGAGGGGCCAAGGGCCGCACCCACCTCCAATGCGGGCGTTGTAGGCCACACCCACGCCACAGACACCATTGTTGGCCACAGCAGCCACTTCGCCAGCGCACCGTGTGCCATGTCTGCCGGGACCAAGAGCAGAGCATTAGTGGTGTGAATAGAGCACAGCAGAGCCGAAGGAGCACAAAGGATCAGGACTCCCCTCTATCCACACCGGCTCCCCAGGACAGGGCCACCTCCCTCAGAGCCCCAGCTAAGCCAGGACCACAGACAAAGGTGTGAGCCTTTTGGGCGGGGGCATGAGGCACCCTTGCTTAACCCTGTGTTCTCGCTGGGAGAGAAGAGGAGGGGCGCAGAGGTCCAGGGATCCCTGTTCTCACCTATTGTCATTCATCTGTGTGTACCGAGGCTGGGGGTCCGGATCTTGGTCATTGACATCAAAACTGGCCCCAGGATCCTGGAAAAGAGGGGGCTGTAGTCAGGAGCAGCCCGACTGCACTGGCAGAACAGCAACGCCCCTAGCCACCCGTCACCCGGGATGGCTGTTCCCCTCCTGCCTTCTCACATAGTTGCCTGCCAAGTCCGGGTGGTTCTTCTCGATGCCATCGTCCAGGATGGAGACCACAATGCCACGCCCCGTATAGCCCTGGGCCCAGGCCTCCTTCACATTCAGGTCCCGCTGAGTGACACCAGACTGCAGAGACACCACCCCGTTACTTAGAAGATGTGTTTGGCTGGGTGAGTGCAGGGCTAAGCTGGACAATCCCTTCACTGCTCCAAACCCCTTTCTGCACCCACCCTGGCTGTAGTGGCACTGTTGGTTTTGTGGCCTTCCTGAGGTGCAGAGCGGGAGCGGGGGAGACGAGACTTATCAGGAGGGGTAGGGAGAGATGGCTCTTAGAAGGACAGCAAAGAAGCCTCACAGTTGGCCCAACCCCCACGGGATCTCACCGAGGAGGACCAGGGCAAGGAGCAGGGCCACAGGCAGTGCCGTACCAGGTACCACTGCTGGGGAAACTTGGGGTCCGTGGGCTCCTGATACACGTCCCGTTTGGTCCGTCGCTTTGCCACCTGCTGCTCCAGCCACTGTACCTGGGAGGCGATGAGGGAGGTGGTGTAGGTGGGGGCAGGGAAGTGGGGCAGGGAGAGCAGGCAGAGGAGAGGGCAGCAGGAGAGGCGGGTCCAGACTCACTTGAGGCTCCCTCTGGAGACGGCTGTGCCGAGGGTGGTGAGGCGACAGGGACCGCTTTGTCACTGCTCGATGCCAGAAGTGGTAATAGTCGCCGAAGATCTGCAGTGAAGCAGGAGACTGAGATGGGCCTTCCATCTGTCAGTCCCCAGGAGGCGGCGACGGGGGTGGACAGCGGCTGCAAGGGGCGGCTGGCAATGGCAGGGAGTGGGGGCATCTGTTCCCTGCCCAGGACCCAGAACGAACATGCAGGGGACCAAGGGAGACCTTGCCCTCACTGTGACAGGCTACTCATCTGTCAAGCCATCCCACTAGCCACCCAGGACCCGGAAAAGTCAACCCCAACACTTCCTGCTCCTTGATGCCAGGATCCTTTCCCTCCCGGACCACATCCCGTGCCTGCGCCAGCAAGCTACCTACCTGGCCCAGGTTGTGGAACCCATGCTTCCGTGCTATACTATCAGCCACGGCTGGGCCTCCAGGGATGTGCACAGCCCACGTGTTGGTGAAGATCTTCTGGCCACGGGCATCAGTGGCCAGCAGGACCAAGACTCCTGCTGCTGCTACCACCCATAGCAACCAGGGCCTCAGCTCCATGGGGGGCAGGTGGCCGACCGTGGAACTCCTGCCTCCTTGGCCTGGTCACAGGGCCTCGGCTCCCACGTGCCTGCCGTTTACTGCCTGTGGTCCGGGGCTGACTGGCGGGGGCATGGGGCTGAGATGGGCAGGGCTAGCGGGTAGGATGAGGGCTGCCGGCTCTGGGAGGAACAAGGAGAGAAAGGGGGGCCCGTCAGTCCCTCTGAACCCGTGCACTAAGGCTGCCCTTCCTGACCTGACAACTCAACATGCACGCATAAGGGGCGCTGGGAGGCGGGTAAAACAAGACAGTCCTCCCCAGGAGGAATCCCGGCCTCCAAGGGCAGCCAGACAGACGGACACGTGACCCCCATACGCCTCCAGAGCCTGTCTCCACCAAGAACACAAAGGTAACCCTGAAGGGGGCTGAAGCACATCAAAGACTTGAGTCGCTCGAAATCAGAAAAGACCTTGCCAAAATAAAAGTAAAAAGGATGCATTATGTTATAAAGCAGTATGTACACATAATCCCACTTTGTTTTTTTAAAAGCTATTTATACATGTATATTTATACATAATCAAAAACAAAATCTGGAAGGACACACGCTACAACGTTAACAATGGCTCTTTCAAGATGGTGAGAATTACAAGTAATTGTTATTTTCGCCTTTGTGTCTTTGCTTTGCACAATACCTAGGTATACTTTACAGAGGAAGAAAACACGGGCTTTTTAAAGTTTTTAAGTGAACTCACTAGGGTTTCCTGACTCGGTAAAAGAGACGCAGCAGAAGGAGTTATCTGCAAAGCCCCACAGCCAGGAAACAGAGGGCAGCCTGGGTCAGGCAGGGCTTGGGGGACAGTGCTCCGAGGGAACGCCGAGGATGCCCAGCCCTGCCTGGGAGCCCCCGTGCCCCTTCGCTTGCTCTGTGCCCACCACCTTGCGTAACCAGAGCCCGCAGCCAGGGCAAACACTGGCTGCTGAGCTAGGAGCACCAAGGTGAGGCTGAATCAATAGTCCTCGTGTTGTTTTTCCTCCTTCAGCAAACAGACAGCGGGACCTCTCTGCCTGGGGCCATATAACTGTCCCCACACAGGGCCTCTGAGTAGCCAGAAGTCAAGCCTCTGGGGTAGGCGGCAGCTGGGAAGTCCCTCCCAGTTCCAGGCTCCTTGAGTTGCTCTGTGCCTGCCCACAGGGCCCAGATGCCCCTGCCATTCCCAGGGCCCAGCCTCAAAGGAAGACAATGCCCAACAGCGCAGGGAAAGTGCCCCAGCTCCTGTAGGTCTTGGGGAGCTGGACAGGCAGGCGTGCAGGCGTGCGGGCGGGCAGGCTCACTCGTCCAGGGAAGGCCCTTGGCCACAACCACCTCCCTGGCTGCTGCGACCCACGCTGCAGGCTGGGGGACTCCACACACCATTCCTGGAGTATTTTCAGTTTACACCAAAATAACCTGACAGCTGATGGCAGGAGACAACCACCATGTAGCTCTTCCACACCCCTAAGGGGCAGCCGTGAAGGGCTCCAGGGCAGGCAGGGGGCAGAGGCCTGAGGGCCACAGCCCCAGGACCCCTGAGGTGGCTACAGCCCGCCTGAGCAATGGCTGGACAGCCTGATGCTCAAGCCCTAGAGGATGAGGGGACCCCAAAGCCCCATCTAAAGCATGTGGGGTCCAGGATCTCTTCTCCCCTTCCTGCCATATAGCTGCCTCAGGCGCAAGCCAAGACCCCTGACCTACAGTGCTGTAGCCCACCCCCTCCCCATGCCTCCAGTCAAGGCCGGGATGGCCTGGGTCTGGCTCAGGTCTCAGCACACGGTAGAGAGCCGCAGCCGTTTGCACTATAGGCGATTAACCAACTATTTAATTACCTTGCAGCGCCTGGAAAGCAAGCGGGCTTCAGGCACAACTGAACAGTCTCCCAGGAAAGACGGCCTGCCCACCTCTCCCGGGTGTACCATGAGGAGGGGTGGTTTTAGCTTCCAGAGCCCCGAACATCCCACCACCACCACCCAGCTCTGCCTCAGCATCCAGGACAGACGGAGGACCCCCCACACACAAAGCAAGAGCTGCGAACAATGAATGAATGGACTTCTCTCCACCCCCACCCCAGACTCTGACTCACCCTGAGCACCGGTAGTCTCAAACCCCACTCGGTCTCAAAGGCACTCAACTCCAGGCTGGACCAGAGAGAGCCGGGGACTCCTCCGGGCTGTGTTCCTGGGCAAAGCCCTTTTTCTCCAGTCCCAGAACCTCCTGATCACCACCCACCCCCAGGGACCTATTCCAAGCGGTACCTAACCGTGGGCTGGGCCAGGTTTTCCCAGGCACGGGAAGTCCAGCTAGGACACAGCCAGCATGCAAGCCACCTCAGACCACTAGGAAGCCCAGTCCGGTCTCCCCCCGGCCGCCACGCGCAGCCAGGTCCTGCTAGAGGCACCCGGCGGCTGTCCTTTTAAATTCTGAATCCTAGTTCCTGCTCAACTTCTATTTGTTGTGTGATCTTGAACAAGTCACTTCCTCTCCCTGGGCCTCAGTTTCCTTCGTGGTAGAGACTGTTAGACCAGTGGTTTGCAAACTTTCTTGTAAAGCCACAGAATTCTCCAAAAAAAAAAAAAAAAAAACCAAAAACTAATTCTCCGCGGAAGCCCAATTTAGGAAATACTGTAGTTAAAACTAGGGCTTTCGGGTTGACACGGGCCAGGCTTGGCTACACTCTGATGCTGCGCTGTCCACACCTGGCCTGGCCCTCGCTAGGCCACATCACCCTCAGGCTTCCCGCGCCTGCCAAGGAGGGGGCCCAGGCACCCGCTCCGGAACACCGGGTCTGGTCCGTCCCCCGAGGGGACGGTGTGGGGGTGGTGGGAAAGTAGGTGCTGTCTGGCCAGCAGGCGGCCCCCGGTCCGCCGCCCCGCGCCAGGCCTCGGAG